TGTTTGTGAACAATTTTAAAACGAAATTATAAGGCTGAAATGGGCGCCCATGAACTAAACTAATGATAAAAATGAGAACGAGTAGTCGAAGTATGTTTCTTCCTTTTTAGTTTATCGCGATTTTTCTTTAAATTAAACAGTACTGTTTACACTAAAGAAGTAGAATGGATTTGTAAAATCTCAGCGAAAGGATTTGAAGTGAATCCAACGTTTCGCCTGGCACTCTGGTTCAAGCGTTTTTACGGTTTACAGTTTAAAATTCACATTTATTATAAATTCATCAATAGACCGGTAAACGTTTATACTTCAAATCAATCCAAAGGTATCAACGTTGAAGGGATCTTTAATAGACGTGAATGAATATGTAAATTTCAAACTAGGATTGAAGTGATCAGTCTTTCTCGTATAGCGATCTAATAAGTCAAATTTTCGACAGTATTTGTAAAAATGGGTTTCTTATTTTTTCTCTGTTATCAATGATCGCTAATTATGAGCTAAAATACAAGAACGCTGATATTTGATTCTAAATGACTTCTTTGTTTTTATAAAGACTACTTCATGGAAGGATTTGTTTATTGAAATGATATTTGTAATTTCGTTTCATATACTTTTCAGTTCAGTCTTTCAGGATGCTTTTGTAACTTCTTTTTTGGACCAAATTTTTTGTCCTATTTATCGAACGACTTGCGGAATTTCTGATAAATTATAATTCGTTTAACTCCCGAACTTTATGACGTTCTTCAGTTCACATTATGACCAGGGAGTGTCAGATTTCTTGAAAGCAACGTATGTTTGATGTATGAATCGTAGTTTTCTTGTCCCAGATGGTAAAAGGGACAACTGAAAAAACGAATGTGCAGAATATGATACTGTCTAAAATACATTGTCATCTAGCAACAAAGGCTGAAAATAACACTGACAAGAATCGACCTTTTCTGGTTTAACAACTGATAGTTTCAAAATTATGAATGACATGAGTTGTTCCCCCAATTAACGTCAAGTGAAGGAACAACTAATAAACCTTTGTATGATTTTGTATGCTAACTGAATATACACTGTCTTCATGGACATGGTATATGCGTTAGTAACTAGGGTCATTATTTTTCGCCTAGTTAATTATTTCGTACGTCACACTATACTACTTAACAAATTCAGTAGTCGACCTAAATTTCGAATAATTGGGGCTTATAATGTGTAATGAACCTTGATTGTTGTGTTATCAATGTGTTTTCACTGTAATGACCACTTCCTAATAATTGTAACGGTTATTTTCAAATTCTTCATACTCACTCAACCCTTGTTAAAGTGCAGTTGTTACTAGCTATTATTCAGATTACCGTTTGTCCGTGAATTATCTTCATTTAACTATTTCTGAGATCTGTCTTTTTTAGATGATATATATTGATACGTAGAACGCTACATTCACCTCACGAATCGGTATTTATTAATAATCTTCACATAGTTTGTGATCATAATACCATCCTCCAGGCAATCTCTTCTCTTTGAATAGGAATTTAACCACTCACTGTTGAACCTTTTTGAGGAACCGTACCATTTTATTCGATAAATGCACTATTTAATTTCCACTTTAAGTGTTTGTCAAATCATGCTGAAGCATTACAGAACAAACATTACGACACGATTAATGTATTTTTGTCTCCTCATCCTTTATATGGAAGAGAGCGAATTCCTTTAAATTACGTGACGTATGTATGAACGATACTGTATGACTAACGAGTATAGCTGACAGTATGTATTTCTCGTTGTTCATCTAAAAATACATTCCACGTTTTATGGTTTCCATCTAGTAATATCTTGTTTTAGGACCTTTTGTTAGTCACTATTTTCTGTTCTCAGATTGAAATGATTACACTTGGAACTATTCTTAACAGTATAAACTATCTTAATATGTTCTGTGACGGAAACCTAAAGGAATGTGTTAGAAGCTTTGAATCAACTAGAAGAAGGCTTGGACATCATTTTCATTGGTACATGATATTACTAGCTTTAAAAGTGCTTACGAATTCTATAAATCGTTAACTCATCAAAGTTGATATCTACAAAATGAATAACTTCACGATAATTACTTCTTTGACTTTTTTACATTATTTCATCTATTGAATTTTCGTTTTCTGACAACTGTTTAATCTACTTCAACGATTCTCATGACTCTCCCAAAGGACTCGTGTAATGTTATCATTTTTACTGCGTATATATCTTTACAAAACCCATGCCACTGCACAACCAAAGCTTCAGTAACATCTGCAAATGTTGCAGCCAGTATTACTGATGCTTTTATTATCCGGTTACCAACAATTTTCATAATTTACTTAAGTCTCAATCTGGATGGAGAGAAAAAAGTTCCTATTCCAGCGGATTTCTTCTTCCAACATATATTACATTGAAAGGCAGAATCATCGCGGTAGTCTGCACAAGGACTACAAGTCATTTCATTGGCACAATCACAAATAAAGGAACTTCTTAGTAGTCCAATTTGTTTTAGCCGCTCAATTATCACGTCTTCTCTAATATCCGCTGTGGATCGATCATATGTGAGCGTTGGGTACGGAAATTGGCACATTGACCATGAAATCCTTCAAACGCTACTGATTGGCTCGTTCAGAAATTATAATCCTGTAGTATCGGTTACTATGTTAACTCCACATAACTTATTCTGGCTTCTGGACAGGCTAATTTATCCATTCTTCTTGAGTCACGTTTTGACCTTGATACTCGTTCACTAATCAACCCTGACTGTTTTTATATTAGCGTATGTGTGTGTATATCTTATCCTACTCATCACATTTCTGTGGTTTATTTTTGTGTAACTATAAATGTTGGCTAACACTTGATTAAATTGAGTTGGCTCACACGCCTTCTCCATTCAGCGTCATTTCGCTTCGCTCTCTTCTCTTCGCTTTTCCAATCTGCTCGCTTTTCATTCTTTGTTTCTTCTCCCTGATTGCCTGTTCGAATCAATGAATGCATGAAATATACATATTCAAAATCCATTCCCGTATTTGGCTTATATAATTCCGTTATTAACCAACGGGATTTAAGTCGAAAATAATATACGAGAATAGTCAGGATGCATATTTCGACAGCAATCATTCAATAACAATCATTTGTCCACTCTGACTGGAGTCAGATCCAGGGTCACTAAAGTCTCACCATATGTATAGGCCTAGGTGTATTGGATTGAGTATAAACTGAATGCCATTCCACTATTTGAATGTCATCGATTATACCAGTCAGGTGTGCATTTCTGAAAGCTTGTGTTTTCATCTTATTTAACAAAAAGTAGCACATATATTGGAGCATTCAGTAGAATTATGTTAACTATATAGTTTTAGACAACATTTTACGATATTCTACATGTAAAAAAACATTTGTACACATAATTCTGGTTTTTCAAAATGTATGGCTATTGCCTCGGCAATGCAAAGAAGAAGAATTTGTCGAGCACATAAAAGAAGTGAATGTAAGTGACAAAATTATGCTATCTCTAGATGTGTAATCATTTTTCACAAATGTTCCACTCACAGAAACCATTAATTTTATCTGTAAATACATAAACAATACTGAGATAAATATTGGAATACCTGAGGTTTATTTGAAGGAATTATTACTACGTTGTACTTGCAATGTACAGTTCACATTCAACGATGTAATTCATAGACAGAAGGATGGTATAGCAATGGGATCCCCAATTGGTCCATTACTGGCAGATTGTTTCATGGCCAGTTTAGAAAACAACCAACTCCACTTGTATCAAAGGTATGTGGATGATATCTTTATCATTTGTGATAACAAATGTAACTTAAGTGATTTCCTAAAGACATTTAATAATTGCCACTCATCAATAAAATTCACACTTGAAGTTGAAAGCAAACAAAATATTCACTTCCTTGATGTAGATATAAAAAGGAAACAAGATGGTACTTTAAAAAGATCTATTTACAGGAAACCCATGTGGAATGGCCAACTATCAAATTTCCACAGTTGGGTTCCCATCAGCTGAAAAAGAAACTCAATAATAAGTCTCGCCACAAGAATACGAAGATTCTGTAGCCCCGAGGCCGTAGAGGAAGAATTGAGTTTTTTAAGAGAGATACTTATCAAAAACGGATATCTTTCTATATTCATTGATAAGAACATGAAGCCGAAAATGCCAAAACCAAAAACAATTGCAGTAGAAAAGAAAATTTTATACATGAACATCGACTTCAAAGGTGATAGAGCAGCATTTATCTTAAAGAGGAGAATTTCAGATTCTTTAAAAAGAACATTCTTTGCAGCAACATTGCGAATATTATTCTCCAGCCGATCACTGTTCACCAATAATCTGAAAGATAAATTATCGCATCTGACCAACTCAATGTGCATTTACCAATTTACCTGCTCTTGTGGAGCTAGGTATATAGGTCGTTCGATGCGTACTTTATCCAAAAGAATTCAAGAACATTGTCCGGCGTGGCTAAGAAGAGGAGGCAGCGGCTCAATAAGAAGTTCTATAATCGAACACCTTGTGAACACAGGTCACTCAATCAAGACAGATTTTGCGTTCAAAGTCATCTACAAGGTAAGTAGAAGCCTTCCTAAAAACATTTGTATTGAATTGTTATCTTTAAAATTTTACGAATATTTTCCAACTTAATACATCAAAAACTTCTAATGATACATAAACACTTTCACATACATCAATTCATTGTCAACGGACATGTCAAGCTATGAGTAAGCTACTAACCCATATGAATAACACCACGTGGTCATGATTGTAGAGACGAAAGTTATAAAAAGGTTATCTAAAATTCAAACACCCACGAAACTATTAATCACTCAGAGGATAACCAGCCGTAAAAATAGTCAAAAAAGTGAGCTGAATAACTGCTTATATATATATATATATATAAACCTTCTTGGTGATTCTATTGCATTGGTGTAATTTAGTTGTTAGCTGAAATGACATTTACTAATATAAAAGGTAAATAAATTATCTAGAAATAACAAAATCATTTACTGTTTTTATTAATGTTCATTTCATTTTAATTAAAAATTATATTCTATTAATAAACAATTATTTGAATTTGAAAACAAATACATTATTATTTGTCATTAACGAATGAAAATCCGTTATTTTTGATATTAATCATTACTTCAATAGATCAGTACAGTTTTAATGTGTGATTTTAATTAAGATAAGTAACTACATGGATGAAAAATTGTCAATATTATTTCACACTTCTCAATAATGTGGTATGTGGTATTTATTGTTTAGTAAAACATTTCATACATATGAATAATTGTTAAATAAGAAATGAACGCTAAAATAGTTAACCCAATGAACATGCCTATTTGAATGAACAAATGAATACTAAGCATTTTCACTGTATGAAAACTAAATAATTGAATATTGTTAACAATTTTCTATGTTATGACAAGCCTAAATTTGGTTTCTGTTTTTGTTCTTTTTACAACTTGACCAATTTACCATTTGTCAAAAAAAACAATAGACTTTCTGAAAAGTACTTAGTTTTGTACGATAATAAGAATCTGAGTATGTATTAACAATCTGTTTAATTAACATAGTAACAGGAAAGAAATTTAATCAACAGATAGATGATTGTACTTTCTTGAAATGATTTTATTTAGTAGACCACATTATTTTAGGAACATCAGAAATAAAATAAGATGAAGGTTGAAGCGATGAGGGTGTTGTGGATCTAGGATAACCAATAGATTTTCCAGAACTCGTTTTCGTTTCTGTAACAGTGTTCTGTTTAAATGTCGAGATCTCTCGCAACAAATCAGTTTTATGAGCACCGTTACAACTGATATTGGTCAATGAGTTTACCGAATTAAGTTTACTTTGTTCAATAGTTCTTGAACCTTGAGTTGTGTTTACGTTTTTAGTATAAGATGGTTGTATTAAATGAAGTTTTGGTTTAGTTGCTATTGGAACTTTGTCATTATTTAGTTCCGTATTACAATGAACTTTGTTCATCGAATTATCGAAATCTTTAAAATTTTCCGGTGGAGGAATAGTACTGTTCGTTGGTAAAATACCAGATAATGTCTGAAAATGTAGTTTTTCGGCAGCTGTTTTGAATGACTTTTCATTTGATGAAACAATTTCTGCTTGCTGTTTTAAAGTTCTGGTATTATTCTCTGTATACGTTGTATTATGAAAACCTTTATTAAGTATTGATTCAGAATCATGGTCATCCTCTCCAGAAGCCATTTCAATTAAACGACGGCGTTCAGCTACTGCCCTTCTAAGGTTATCTTCAAAAGATGTTTTCTTAACAGTTTGTGATGATGAAAAGGTTTTGTAAGCAGTATGATTATTAATGTCATAACCATTAGAATTCTGTTGGCAATTAGAGTGCCGAGTCCCCGGTTCAGTAACATTTAATTCAAAATCCTCTGGAGGCGGGGGTGGAGGGAGTAAGAGCTGATCTGACCAAATATCCTGGTTCCGAGCATCTTCTGAATTTTTAGACGGTTTAGTACTTTCTGAAAACTTATCATGTGATGTCTTTTTCAGAATACCTGCTGGCAATTCAGAGTTTATACTGGAAGACGTTTTATTTGGAGTTGTCATAGGTGGCGGTGGAGATGGTATTAAATTTATGCTGCTAGAAGATATAGGAGGTGGAGTTGGAGGAGGTGGATGATCAAAGGATAAAGAATTTTCACATTTATCTACAGAATCGAAAGTTTTTTCTGAGAGTGTTGGCCTGGACTAAAAAACATAGGACTCACATTAAATAATACTGAGAAGATAAAATATCTGCTATAAATAGAAGAGATTAAACAAAGTTCTAATCATAAAAAGCTAAAATGAATGATTTAATTTTAATTACAAATAACAGATAACCACAATATAAATGGCTACAGTGACAAGGAGATTAATTCAGGCGTCAGACTACCTATTTATTAAAGCACCAACTCAAAGCCTCTAACGATTTTGCTTATCGATCCTTTTATTGATGATGAAGTCTGTCAAACAGCATCACAACATAAAGTACATGACTCAAGATGTAAGAAGACTTTAGAATGAATATACATCTAAAATCAGGTTGTCAAGAAAATATTTCGACAATTTTCATTTGATAGAAAATATTTTGAGCAATCTTGCCCTACGAAGCAGTAATTATAGCCTTCAGATATTCACTATTTGTCTTCAGTCTTATCTCAGTACAGGTTTTCATTCAGCTTCAAGGAATTTTAATTGATCAACTGACGTCGCTTTAAAAACCGCTAAAAACTAGAGGACGCTGAATGTTAGTTTTGTCCTACAACGCAAGGATTAAACTGGAAAATCTGGATTCTCGAAGAGAGTTAATTATCTGTACTCCTGATTTTAGTGACAAATGTTTTCAAAAATTCTGTTTTTTTATACAGCTTGTTTGAGTCTTATGTTTTGAAAATAAATTTCACACTTCTGAAACTGTTCACAATAAATTTCTGGATTAATTATTGATTTTTCTGTAAGCCATCAAGAAACAATCACTGGCGGGCAGTCTACTTTTACATAAACAGGTAGTTTGATGAAAATAAATATCTTAGAGTTCACTGAAACTACAGACTAAGAACCCGTAAACGAGTGGTGGTCAATAAGTATTTAAAATAACCACAAATTAGTTCCTAAGTGATATGTAGTTTCCATTCGATTCTTAATCGATGCAATTTCCAATTGAATTTACATTTAAGTACATTGTTACTTCAAATTTCTGTTAAATTTATTATTCCAGTTGTTTTTAATCACTGATTATTCAACATTTCTGGTCTCTAAAAATTGGTGAGATTTCAGCAGATTCTGCAATTTGCATTGTATTTTTATTGTTGTTGTGTGGTAAGAACACTTAGCCCTCATGTCAACAAAGCTATTGTGTCCTTACTTTTAAATATTAGATTATTCAGATGTGTAAAGATATTTCCTTGAATGAAGTTTTACACAAATATTCCACTAACTCTGCTTTTTTTTCAGATTTATAAGTTTGAGTCTGCACACTAAATACACCAGTTCCCACGCATTTAGTAAATGTATGACTAAAACGAATTGTCGCATAAAACGAACATCGATCGAAACCTTACATAATTTTTAGGATTCTAAAGTTGGAAAACCAGCGAGCAAGATATATTTAGTCGTAGAGCATAAAATTATCAATACTAATGAAACTATCGAATCTTCAATTAATATACTTACCTTTAGGCTAATAGTCAGATTACATTCTGCTTTTTTATAATTTGGTCCATTTTGGAATACACTTTTAGATAAAGTTCCAGTTGTTAGAACTGGTTTACTTGACGGTGTTGAGGGGACTGGTGTTCTGTACGAAGGTACATCCATTGAGGATACCGATGGACCGGGGTCTAGTCGAAGAGACTTTAATTTTTCTTCACAAATAAAATCGTTGGATGAAGATTTATTTGTTGAGTTTTCTAATAGTATTGAAAAATTATTTTGATTTCTATAAAATGAGTCTCTACAAATGGTTTTGTAAGCACTTTCAGTGTTCCTAGGCCAATGATTTTCTACAGAATCACAATGTTTGTTTGAAAACTTATCCTCATAATTGGATTTTTTTGCTTTTGAACTGTAAATATTGTCTGAAGATTCGTAAAATTTGTTACCTATAGAAAAAATTTTCATTATGAATACTTTATTGATCAAGAATGAGTTTGAAAATAGTTTAAAAATGACAGGAAATAAAGAAATCCTATGTCATTGGGACAATTTATTAAATTATAACGATGGAAATAGAAGTATAACGCTGTTTATTCAGGTAATCAAAATTTGACGAAAATAGTGCATCGTCTCATTTATAATATTCACATAATATGCATTACTGAATCATATGTATATTACTCAAAATCATAAATCAGACCGTTCGTTCTAAGCGTATATGAGTATTCGTTCATATCGAAGTTGATATAGAGAGAGCCGATCAGAAGTAGCCTAATGAGAAGTTCAACCAATGACAATCAGAAATGACCTAAAAGAGAAGTGCATTTCATTGGCAAAGAAATGGATAAATATCCTAAGGATTAGAGTGGTATACATATGGATGAGTCTTCGTGCATTTTATTCAATGTCCCAATACAATGTACTTCTGACTTTTGTGTTCTCGCTCACGTAGTCAGTTGGGGAGTTAGCGCGTAGCACGCTGTGTATCAGTATCAGATTTTGGACAACACCCGTAACAACAGAAGTTTATAGAGTTTATGAGTATAATGAATGATATATTATGCCAGTTTGCTTACAGACTCTTATAAAAAATGCAATTGTTTGTAAATGTCTGAATATTTAAAAATGTAAATCTCACCAGAAATCCAAATCAGGAAACAACAAGTGAAAATTAGGCAGATTATTTATTATGAATTTTCCTTCTGTCACTCTCGATTACTTAGTTGTAAGACACTACTCTTGAAATATAAGTTATTATGTATGCGTATAAAAAAATTATTTGCATCTTTCAGACTAATGCAATATCAGTATGGCCAAAATAACGGGAAAAACAGTATGAATATTGTCTAAAACTATTACTTACTTTTTGCTGATTGATGTGATAATTTGGGAGTTGAATTAATTTGATCAGAGTCAACAGTTATCACTTTTAAACCTAAAATATCACTGGAACCTCTAATAAGTGAGACAACAGCTTCATGTGACATTGTAGTAACGTTGATATTATTTACCTGAAGGAGAGAAGGATAAAATAGTTATAAATAAATGAACTGGCGTTTTACGAAAAATTTTATTCACATTATGCAAATAAGATTGGAGTTTTTCGGGATACGATATTGAAATGTTTTCGTCTGTGTCAAAAACACTCTTGAAGTACCATGGGAACAACAGCAACACAGACATGGATATTCTCTTCTACTGATAACTTATCAAATAACAATACTTATCCATACCATTGAACGACAAGTGATGGAAGAATAATATATTGTTCAGCAAACTGGTAAATTTCCTCTTTTACGGCCAGAAACGTATTACGCGGTCGGCAGTGTGAATTGTTTAACTGAAACGAAGTAATTAAATTAATAATCACTAATAATAAAAAATCTGCTTATACATGTTCAGTCACTTTACCATTCTCTGAAAAATTCCATCATTGTCCTCAGTAACTGTTTTGATGTGAAATTCGAATAAAACAACTGGGGTCCAACCATCTGGATTATCATGTACGTGCTGAATTTACAGTGTATTTAGGATGTTGTTAAACGTTTTGCAATAATTTTCTGGATTTCCATTTATTTCCCCCAATATTCTGATAATAACACAAGATCGATATAATTTTATACTACTTATATTAAAAACAGTAACTAAACACGTACTGTTAAACCTAAACAAACGGCTGATAAGCGACATAAAAAGAACCAAAAACTTGTTGATATTTGTAGTCAAAATCAGTGTTTTATTCATCTTGAGGCTTCAAGATAAAAAAAAGATTTTAATATACCTTCCATTTAATTTCCAATTTTATTAGTTATTTAAGTAATGCCAGGAACGGACTACATGTAATTGTTTGCATATTACTGATAAATGCTACCCAAACAATATATTTTATGATGACTTTTAAGCAACTGTTTTGTTCATGACTATAACTGCTGGTGTACAGAGATTCTTTAAAAACTGTTAAAGCAAATCATCATAATGACGTAATTTTTGTGAAATCTCTCTAAGTAAGATGAAGTAACGGTTTCTACTCAACCTTTTAAATGTTCGTTGATGGCATTGACGCATACTAAAAGTGTCGATTTCTTTATAAATAAGTAACATGTAAAAAAAACATTTTAAAAATACTGAAAGTGAATAGTGTTCTGTTTGTTTATAAGTACGTATACAACTATCCATCCAAAAGTGATTATCAATCTTTCAAAAAAATTTCACTAGTATTTACGATAAGAAATAACTTAGTTTACTGTTAATTTTGACGGACGATGTTCCTTTTCTCAAGAAAATTAGTATTTCATGTCAAGTACTTCTATTGAAAAACAATCGCTGTAAATGTAATTAGCTAATGAATTCATAGAGCTTTATGAAGCCCGTTAGACTTCCGATATGACCAATTTTTCTAAAGTATGGTTTTAAGACTTTTTGTGAACGTTTGATATGAAACTCTGAGTAAACTGAAAGTGTTATTTACCTGCCTTCTTTTAAAAAAGTATTTTTTCGCTGAACTTTCACATATATCCCCTTTACAGTTACTTTTCATTATTTTTCATGAGAGATTGATGTTAACTACAATGTTCCTAGAATCTTAACGTTTTCGAACAAGTGAACTGTAAAATAACAACATTTCCATGCTAAATCAAAACAACACAAATCCTTGAGCGATAAATTTGAATGTTTAACATTTATCTCACACTGAAGAAATTCAGTATTAAACAAACATTCTCTAACCAACTTTCCAAGCTCATGACAGTCGTTTCTTAGAACGTTGTATAAAAATTATAAATACTTGCATTCATACCTATACTTTCAAATTTGCTTCATGTTTAATACCACTATAGTCTTAACAGTAATAATGATCGTATCTAAGAGGTACTATTCAGATTTATGACTAAAATTACATTTTCAAATAATCTCCATCATAACAACAGCTGGAATATACAGGTTCCGAAATTACATAAGTAAAACATGAAAATATAACACCTGAATGCGCGAATCGAAAACCTACAAGCACCGGTGGACCGTTTCACCCTAGAACGGGATGCGTCAGCAGTTCACATCCACGATCGCGCACGTGAGACTCGTACACAGAACCTTCAAACACGCGCGAAAACCCTTAACCTCTTGACCACTGAGTCACAATGATAAGGTTTGACTTCAGTCGACCTATGGTCTTGCGTGGTCTAGAGATTAGGCGTTCGCACGTGAGACCGAAGGCGTGGTTTTTTCTTTAATAATATCTAAAGGTCACTGAAATCGATTGGTTTTCTGTGAAATGCGTTTATTATTCTTTTTTTTCTGCTCCAGCTGTTTGATTTAAAAATGATTTAAAAATACATTAGTTTGAGTGAAATTAAACGAATCAGTTAATTCACTAAATACTAATTGATACTAGTCTAGGTATGCTTATTCGATAAGTAATTAGTAATGCTTAAAAGCTTAGTATTAGTTCAAGCACATATTTGACACTAAAATTTAACTTACCTCCAATATAAAATCACCTGCTTTCAAACCTGCCTTGCTTGCTGCACTATGGGGTTCAACTTTTTCAAGGTATTGTGATGCTGGACACTCAAGACATGGTGTAAAATTTCCAGATATTCCTAGACGAAAAGGCCAAAGATTATTACACATTATTCACAGTTTAATCGTTCACAGAATAATTCTGGTAAATTCAATTTAGATTAATTTTAGTAAAAAAGAAATTGGATAGAATGGTTTATGAAATTTGAAACATTTTCTAAAGACTTATTTGTACTCATATGACATGACCATAAGTTACTAATATCAACTAAAAGTGAATAAATTTCCCATTTTGTTTAAGCTTTTGACTTTATTAATAATAGGCACTTCAAAAGTAACCGATGAGTAAGTTCACCATTTTCAGTTTATTTCACCGACGTCAATCAACTTTTCTTCGTATACCATAACATACATGGTATTGTAATACAATATTTTTGATCACATAGCTGTACAGGTTGAAGACATATGTGTTCTAGGTTAAAGAATTGATGGCTTTTACTTGATATCTATGAAAAGTATTTACTTTGTGTTGTGTTGTTTCGCTTGCACTAACCTATGATTGAATAAGATGTTTAAAACCAATCACATATTTTCTTATTGCATATATGGATTTGCGTTAAAACACTTACTAAAACAAACCTTATGTAAAACAACCATTTATGAATGGTAACTGTTAAAGAAGTTACAGTCCGATATTGATTTTTACACAGTTGACTAATTTGAACTATCTAGTATATTCTTTTTAATTTGACTGTTTTCGTGATTAAAATAAGTACGATAATCTGTGACAAACAACTTGTTTAATTGATCACAAAAACAGAAAATGTATTTCGCATTCAAATATTAAGGTAACAGTGCTTGAATTCCGGTTTACATGAAAGACTGGATCTATCGTTATTTAGTTATATCTAAATTTGAAGTTTCCAATATTAGCTTATGTAACATATTCTTTACAATTAGACCATAGTTTAGAACATTTAACAAGATTGGTATTTTAAAACTTTAAAAATTGTTTCTTTAACAGGAAAGAATGACAGGTATCTACAAATTAACAATGAATAAACATATTTTTATGGAATGTTACTAAAGTAACAAACTTAATGACTTACAAGAGATAACTATTAATCGGATTACTAATAAATTATTGATTGTATACGTTTATGTCTATACAGGAATTTGTTTAAGAGGCTACGCCCACATATGTATGACTCACGAGTACTATCCTTTTTATGGGAACAAGTAATGGGTAACGCCTCACCTGAACTAGCCAACACACTCTATGTATATGTGATTTTATGAAAACAATGTTAGCCACGTTCTAATTGTAATCATTATTGTCGCTACCGCCTTTAGGAAAATAAGAACGAATAGGTGAAAAATGTGACTCTCATCGAGTTTTAAAATGTTATTCGTTTATCTTCCTTTGCAGATTGATGTAGTGAAAGAAGCATAGAAACGAAAGCATCCGATAACATAGAATAAAATAACTTGACAGTCCACGTTTCGTAGACGAAATTCAATAAAACAAATGAAGTTGAATGTAAGAAGAATTTTGTAAAAATAACAGTGGTCTCAACATATCGTAAGAAAGAAATTAGTTAAGAATATTAGTATTTACATGTATTCATTTCCACATATATACAAATATGTTTATTGTTCGTTAATGTCATGATTAATACGGAGTCAATATTTTGAGTACCGATGAGTATTCTAGTCCAAAGAATTAGAACAAAAGTTATTCAGTAAAAAAATATCTAAACTTACCACCAAGATCTCTGATAAACACAATGTCAAACTGGCAGTGTCGTAGACTCATAAATAAATTTAAATCTCAGATGAGTTTAATTAAGCAATGAACATTATCTGCTCCTGTATTAACTTATTCAGACCCACAGAGAACCTAAATGTTAGTTTAGATGACTGTCTTTTGTTCGAGTGTTTTCAGTTAAAAATTAATGTATATGAATGCGAGTAAACAACTCTAGAGTGCATATTCGAATTATATAGTTGACTATGAGTAATCTTGGTACAACATTAATTGAGGTATTTTTTTACTCAGAAAAAACAACTGAATAGTTTATAAATTGCTACAGAAAGTAAAATATTGCAATTTAATTCCTATTCAATGATTTGCCCACCTTTTTTACCGCGTACAACAAATCCAAAACCATTCGGACCTCGTTGAAGTGCAATCATTCTAGGTAAGTTGGTGGTATCCAAATCCCTGTCAAATAATTAATTACACACAAGAACGAAAATGAATGCACATAAAAATTATTTTAATATCATAATAGAAGGCAAAGTTATTACAGATCAAACTTAAGATTTTTAGTTTATCCTAAAATATATGACTAAAAAGACGTTCGAATAAGTGATGAACAAAATTCACTTCCAAATTAGCAAAACAATAGCGCAGACTCAAACAAAAATGTCCTTTCTCAATCAAAAACTACTTACTTTAGCCCGAAAAGGATACTAACTTTAAATGTGTAAATCTTCTAGCAAATTATAATCCTTTATGTTACAAAATATATAAATATTTTTTACAGCATTATCAAATGCATAACAATTCAGAACGACTACTGAATATAATTGATGAATATGAAAATACGGCATGCAGAATAATCTAAATGTTCAAACCTTGTATATCCTTAATAAAATATAATTGTAAGCTCAATCATAGAAACTTTTAGCAGTTATAGGGAGAGAAGATCGTATCTCGATTCATTTGTAAATTATTATTACTATTAATTACAATTTCATGCTAAGTATATAAGTGACTTTTCTAAAACACTTTTGTCATTACTTAGTGCCTTTAGAAATCGGTAAATATCTATGTTACTCAATATGATAAATGAATTCCAGTGAAATGGAAACAGTTTTATCTTGTCCATGTATATACAGTATTTTTATTTATTTTGCCGTATTTCTTTACAAATTGTGGATTGGTTATGGAATACAAGTGTATTATACATAAACACCAACTTATATACCTGTCCTTATCATAATTAAAATAAAGTGTATATTTGTTATTAATAGTCATATGTAATTGTCTTGATATGAGATCAGTGTTAAGGCTATGACCACCACATACGATTGTTCAAAAACATCAATTCATGCGTACTTATAATGCAAATTCAACGAAATATAACAAATAATGTATGTTTATTGCGTAACAGTCATATACCATAGACTAAACAACTGCTGTATACAACTAATTACAGGATATATTGTTTGAATGAATGAATGTAAAGAAAATAGCATATGTAAAATATTATTTGGATTTTGATCATATCATATGAAAAATATACAGTTCATAATCTAGATCAATAATTCGCCATTAGTGAATATTTTGGTTCTGAAAATTAACTGAAATGACAAAGTCGTAATCCATTTTTTTAAAGCAAATTGTTCAGTTTATGAATAAGTTAATACTTGTTTAATGTATCAAATGATTTAGTTTTCAAAAGACCGTTTTTTGCAGTATACATTTTAATGATTTGATCAACCCTAAAAGTCGAACATAATACTCAGCCTTACAAACCTTAACGATTAGTCGATATTTAAAACTCTCCTAGTTAGACTGAATTAGGCCAAAAACATGAATTTACTTCGTCTGAGAAATGATAGGAAAAATTTCCAGAAAACAACTGATAAAACTATGGTTTCAATAAGTCATTTATAACAGTATTTCTAAGAACATAATTATTTATTACTACATTAGAATAGCTGAATGAGAAGTTTGTAATTCTTGTCAGGATCTGTTGGTTGCTGAAAGTCCACTAAATAATAATAATATATGTAATAACAGTTTCAAGACACCTTGCCTTTATTCGACTCTACATGAACTCGAATTTCGTGGTATTAGATTTAACAAAAAGATCACGGATGATGCCAAGACCTTAATGTCTAGTAGTGATCACGACATCTTTAACCGATTGGCTTGGAAATTATTAGTTATTTTGGTAAATTCTGATTAATATTTTCTACAAAGTGGTCCTTGTCTATTGGAGGAAATAAGAGTTGCAATCAATATCTCAAACGTCTCGAATTATCGAAAGATTGTTTTAATCATTTGCAATAATTACTCTAAATGAACTCTTTTTCTTTAACCGTTTACGGTTTCTTAACAATAATGAATCCACGTTTGTATAAAGCATATTCACTTAAATTGTATGGTAAAGCTGGAATAAGTGAAACGGGAACGAGACGTAATAGTACGGCATGTTGATTAAAAAAATGCTCTAATTTACCACAGTTGCAACGGTGAACACAATTTAAAGATGACTTATCGAATAACAATGCGTGCTAAACTACTTTAGCTGACCAAATATTTTATATGCATGAAGGTTTCACTGGCTTAAGCGAATAGATAATATCATTTAATTGGTGCTTATAAATGCATTTTCACAAATACTCTGTGTGACATCTTTGAGAAATTATATTTTGACTTGTTTGCTTTGAAAGATGATATTATATACATACTAGCTAGATTTATCTATTGTTTTCTACTAGTGATACTTAGAGGTTAGCCTGAACAATGTTCAAAAGACATATCTGTTTCACTGATATAGAAGATGTTTTCTCTTTGTAATGCGTAAACATCGAACAAGCTCATATTGACATTTTAATTGAATAATCTTTCTGCAGGAATCAATTTGAATTCATATAAGAAGCTATGAATTTGATATCAGTCACTGTTGAATTTCGCATCACTGTGTAGCAAAACTGATGAAATATTTCATGCTGTGTGCTGAGTTTTTCTAAACATTGACAGATGGATTTTGTCGTTGTCTAAGTTTTCCAAAATTGGTAATTTCTTGATAAATCCTAAAGCTTATAAACTGATCTTTAGCTAATACTTTTCCTGGTCTTAACTTTGAGATAGACGAGAGAGTTGATCAAATAAAACATTTTTACCTAAACTAGTCTACGAAAGATATTGTAGATTCATAAGCCAGAGACTATCAGCAATTGCAGATTATGGTAGAGAACAAACCTAGTTCCAGATCACGAGGAGATCAAGAAATGATTAGGATAACCACTGCGGAAGTTATCAGACAAAGCAAGCCCTGACTTGGAGTCCGCGACGCAAAATGTAAAGAGCGAAATCAACGAACACATCATATAGAAGTGAAGACAGACAAAGGATGAGTTGTACTTGACAACAGCTAGAAAGGAAAGCCCAAGGCAGAGTATGTTGGAGATACTTTGTAGGCGGCCTAATTAAGTCTTAACTTATTAGAGCTTCAAGTGCATGAGAAATTTAGAAAAAAACTAGTGATATTCATTTATGAGTAATAAAAAGTACAAACAAGCCATGGATAAACTACATCACATTTGAATTGAACGTAATCATTCATAGAAAAATTAAATACATAGTCTATTAAAACACATCAAAATAATTGTGATGACTCATTTTATGTTATATAGATATGAAAACCAGGTTTAATCTTGTTTAAAACTCAGCAAAATAAATAATGATTTTAAATAGGTACACCGTTCTAACACAATAGTTTCCGTAAAGCATATATTTATGTAGACCGTTTCATTTTCAGTTAAACTAATTGAAATAAACCACTCATATTGAAGAGATGTTTTAAGCACTTTATCATTTAAGCTAATTTTCTCAGGTAACAATTAACACATCATATTGCTATTACATAAATTTATTATTTTCTGATTTTATGTATTAAATAGATGGTATTAACTAATAAATACTAACATCATTCAAATTTCACCACTACTTAAAGAAATCATGACAGAACATTCATTACTAGATCAATTTCAAATGACATTTGTGAACTTGAGTATTGAGAAAAAAATTTAACCTTGTTACACTTTTTACATTGTTAACAGAGAGTGTAAGCAAAGAATAGATCAGATGAAACCACTGCTTGTAATATTAGGATGATTGAAGACTCAATGTATAAATAAATTCCTTGAATTATTCAACTATTCACTAATCATTATTATTTATATTAAAATGAGTAGGATAGGTAAGTAAATAAAGTATACTGTAAACCACAATTGTTTATTTTAAAACACATACTTACGCAATACTGTCACGATTTGCCAATAACAGCTGCAAGATCGCTGATCCATTCCTAACACTATTCGTGGATGGAGCTGCAAAGAAATGTTTCAGAAATCAAGTAGAATATAAATGTCATACAACCTTCCTTATTTATAAAATAGGATAAAGAAAAAGCAATAAAAATGTAAATGAAACACTGATTCATAAACAGTAATGTTTTCTCACTAAATTGGCAACAAAAACGAAACTTTGATGGTAATGTTACCACCTGCATTTATTCCGTTTAAAATGAATTGAACCAGTCAGGTGTAAATATATTTCGATCAATACTGAAACCTGGAAAATCCGGATGGCCGCTTTGTTTTAATATAAGACTACTCAAAAGATCGCATACACGATCCCGCATACGGGACTTCATCTATCTATAAGCATATATCATTTCAAAGTCAGAACATTGGTTTTTTTAGAACAGTATTATTTATTTATTACTTTCGATGCTGAATATTATATCATGAATGAATAAAAGTACTAATCTTAATAAATAAACATTAAATCGACCTTAGAAAAAGAAAAATGTCCAAATAACTAATTAGAATAATGTCTAAGCCTGATGTGACTCATCAGTTGCGTGATATACATTATTTGACTAATTAAAAGATAAGTTCGGACGTTTCTATTGTTCAGTCATCTATCTAGTGCTTTTTTTTCTCAAATTGATTTTATTAATAACCTTTGTAACAATAAATCACACATAAATAAATCCGTTCATTCTAAAATTTTGATATAAGTAGTGAATATATTCTGTGAGAAATAGGAAGCATGATAGTAATTAGGATCATAACATCTAAATAATGAAACTATAGAAGTCCAATACTTTTTTGTATTATAGAAGAATCTATATTCATTTCTATACGTATATATAAGGATAAGTTTTGATAGTTGTTGCATCAGATATGCAGCTAAGTTTGATGATTCGATAAAAAAAAACTCGGAATCATGAATAATACTTTAATTTACAATTTTACACTCAATACATTTCTAAACATTCAATTAGAAGTTTTGGTGTAGTTAATTTCAGCTAACACTGAGATCCAGATCTCCTATATCATCCTATTTTGAGCTCTTTGTATGGATGTACCGCTATTTCAGTATTGATGTTCATAGTGAAACTCAAAACTAATCCATTATACTTCAAACATCAATCCATTATTCACTATTCTACCCATTGAAGAATGTAATGGATTTATTGACAGTGAACAACGCGTTGATAATAGGTAATAGATCAGAGTAGGAATGCATCTAGCTGAAGATTCTCAAATGGACTAAAGTCCATGTCCTAGATTCTGCCGCTAGACACATTTTAACTATACTAAATCCTGTAACTAAAGTCAATAGCAAAGCAACCAGTTCGAAATTCAGTCCTCAACATAAACAACGCAAAAACCCAAAACATCACAATTATTTTATTACAATTTGTTAAAGTTGTTCACATTAGTCTCATATTGAAACAATTAATAACTATAATGCGTTTCAGCTCATGAAACAAGATATAAGGTATTCCACATCAGTCACTACTCGAAGTATGCTTGGTAAAGAATTTAAAACGATGATATATTAGCTCTATATCAGATATGCAATATATTGTGTACATTCTGTTGTCAGTTATAATTTAATTTATGGAAAATATAATACAACAGTACGATATTACCATGAAAGCAGTTAATTAACAATGTGTGCATATTTTAATCACTTAAAATAAACTTTCATTGACAGTTTGAATAATGAAAAGAAATCAGATTATTAAAATTGAATAAATTATGAAGTATTTTGTTGCTTAGTAGTTGAATTCACGAGCCAATTGAAAGTAGATTACCATGGAAAACCTGGAAGCACTGAACGGACAGGTTTTCCATGATGGTCTATATTCAATTGACTGATGAATTCAACTACTAAATAACTATAATATCCATAAAACCTCTCTCTGATTATTTTGTTGTTGTTGAATAAAATGAACACATTGATCTATGAAACATACGAAAATTTGGCAGTCGTATAAATTTCATTTTATTCATTCTATTTAGTAATGACTAAATCCAGCTTTAAAGTTACTAAGACTAATAATTTGATATATTTTATGATATTGCTTAACTTTCAATGTTATTTACCTCTAAGAGGTTTTCAATAATGGCTCATGTAATAACAATTTCTGACTGCAATTAATAACTATATCAGTGACCAATAATGTTTATTCACATGTTTCTCATATACCTATAAACGGCATTATTATTTCTATTTAGGATTTCTACAGACACGTTTCATTCAACAACTATTTCAGTATTATTTACTTAGAACCGATGAATATTATCATAATTGATTATCTTACTTTATAATCCTCACAATCTAAATTTTCATGTATATAAAGAAGGGTTAACTTAAGATGTATGATAATGAGTTCAATTAAATATCAGTCTTTAACCCCATAAACGTTTGGTTTCTAATTTGTAATTTTAACACATTAATGATTAGAAATCTGCTAAAAGACTATTCTAATATATTACAACAGCTTTTCTTTAAAAAAAAACATTCGCAACATACCAGGCATTTCACTCAACTGTAATGGTATATTATCGAATCGTACTTTTGCATATGGCTTTCTTCTCGAACTCCGAGTAGCTTTCGCCATTTATAAAATAATTCTTCTAGAACTGCAGAAATTTTAAATAAAATATCTTTTTCTCCTGGTTAAGTAAAATTAATTTTCACGTTTGACTTGGAATGTAAACTCTTGACTGACTACATTATATAGCCAAGTGAAATTTTACAACTTAATACGCATTGGTTTACATTCATAATTTAACAATGTCATTTTAAACAACCAGTTTAATTAGAGCATAAAGAAAGGAATGCATTCACCTAATTATTTATATACAAGCTCATACGCTAAAGAGTATTGTATGTACCGTGTTAGTTATTGAAATTATATCTCTATCAAAAAAGAAAATATCTAAACGTACTTTTACAATTATTCACTGGGTGGTGAACAGTGTCAAGTATGTCAGGTCCTTCTTAGTACAGATCGAATCTTATCGAACAAATTGCAATGTGGCCATCAGTCAAGGTGACTCGACATTCCAGGCACTATGTTGAGACAAAATGATGGTTGGACGTAGTAAACAGTAAACCCTGGTAACGTCTCTAACTGTGAAGCTGGGTGACACGAGATCGAATCCCTCAGGGAGCATCAGGTCCCTCAAAATTACAGGTACAGCTTGCTGACGAGTGCCAAGTAGCACGAAACCTAGGTCCAGGGTTTCCAGTTGACTACTTTCAACCACTATCTTATATCCAGACGTACTATTATACAGCATGCTAGATAACAATAAATATCATACCTCATAAAATTCTATATTAGTAATGCTTAAATAAAGTGTACATAAAATAGTGAGCTGTTTAAAAATCAAATTATTCTAACAAATGAATAATGCCACCTTACTACCCACACTTTAGAGAGTGTTCCTACATTGAACGATCACTATACAGCAACTGACGCTATATATATCTGGTCCATAATGCCGATCAAAATTTATCTACTGGTGCACTGACGTTGTGTGCACCATGTTTCGACAAGTAGTTAAAGATGATCAGCTTCTCAATTTCTAATTTTGACATAAATCTCTTAAAAATCATCACTTCCTAAGGATTAGGGTATTTTTTCTTGATGTGTTCCAACTGGTTAAAAACCTAGGTTTGGAGCTTCCTGCCAACTGCTTCTAACCACATACCTGATACTAGATTTGTTTGATATGTAGTTATAGATCAAATACTCTTTGTGTAATTACTTCAGTATTTTCTTACAAAAATTTACAATTAGTCGTTCACTACGATTTAGGATCTTCAACTAACGATTACAACTTATGAATAATTATCTCACATTCATTTAATTCTTTTCTAATTCATCCCTTGATTTTATTTTTAGAGGATAATAAACGAAATAAGTTCTCGAATTTCATCATAATCTACATCAACCCATTTGAAGCCTTTATTATACGCTGACTATCTATCACCAAAAATTAGTTCAGTAGGAAACAAATGATTTTAGATTTCTTATTTTATTCAAGGCATGTATTGCTTGTTTTTGTAGGCACCAAATTTTGGATAAGCCTGAAAATAATCAGATTAAGTTACTGCATTACTGATTAGATATTTTGGTACGGAGAGAAGATGAACAGAAAATGAGTGGTAAGTTGACTTATTTTTCAAATACAGGCTTGCGTTATTTACTCTGGGCTACAATACTTATAAAAGTGATGATAATACCATCTGGCACTCTAAACCATAACTGGGAAGTCATCGTACAGACCAGAGACCTTATTAGACGTTTCATACTTAAATAACACTTGATTATACGACTAAATTCATGTATGTTTTAAAAAGTACAACGTCCCATTGATACTAAATATTTTTGCAGCAATCAGCAAAAGATTTGAATATAATTTCCTGCAATATATTGACTTTATATTCGAATGCATTTTATGTAATGTAACAGTGGTTGGTTGCGATCGGTTAGATCCTTTAAACTCAGGTTTCTTTCAGGTTGGCAATCCTCAACAAAGCTCATCTACAAACATTAGAACCTGTGTCACCTAATATCATAAACAGAAACATTACCACTGTAGTATTCAGGCTGTTCAGTGAATAAAAAATTAATATTGACAAAAAACCATGTTGTAGTCCACACTTTAGTGACTACGAATGCAGACTATAGGCTAGTTGCTTGTTATTGTGCATAGACACTTTTATTGACGGAATTCCAAATGCAACAAGAAAACATTATTACCAAAAACAACTAGGTATAAAGTTATTAATGACCTTAAACCTATAGAATGTTTATTCAGTTATTTCATACCTTGTTTAGCAATGCATCTGCTATTTTCAACAGATTATAATGCATTACCTAATAGCACAAATTGGTAACTTGAAAGAGAAATCACTAATAAATAAATTAATAATATCTGGTTGGAGTTGCCACTGTATTTAATTTATCTAAAATTAACTTTATCATATTAAACATGAAAAGATGACAAAGTGAACG